TAAAAGACTGTAAAGGGTTCAGGCGGGCCCGGCCACAGAACACTGACAGATGCTCTCTAACCTCTCTCCCTCGCCAAAGGGGAAGGGAAACAGAATAAGGCAGAGATGGTTACAGATTGGAAAAGAAAACAAAAACAGCTTTAATAAAACAGTAATAGTACTAATAAGGAAACAATAAACGTAATGAACTTTATGCAAATATATACAAACCTGCTATCGCACCCAACTGCCCCCTGATACCAATCCCCACTGATGCTGCAGAGCAGGCGGCACTGGGGAAGCCCCAGGCTCAGCAGCAGAGGGGAACTGGATGTGGGAGCTGGATTCAGGAACTCAGGATCAGGATCAAAGGCAGAAGATCGGACAGAGTCCTCCTCCTCAGATGCCAGCCATTGAAGAAGAGGCCTTAACCCCCTCAGTTTTGTGCTGAATATGATGTATATGGAATGGAATACTCTCGTTGGCCACTGTCTGTTGTCCTGTCTGTTATTGACTGGAGGTGCAAACTTTTACTTCCTTGTGACTCCTTCTGCTTCCCAGCACGGCACAGAAGAGCCAGCAGTGACCTTGGTCTCTATAGGAATGAGTATAAGCCAAGAGCCTTTCTGCATACCAATCCCAGGCAGTAACCGTCAACATCAGGTGTTGCCACTTCCAGTAGCAGTCTGAAAAAAATGCTGCTGACTTCAGAAAGTGCAGCCTCTTTGAAGAGACTGAGCTGAAAAGTGATGAGCACCACTTCCCAAATCTGCTGGCAGCGTTTCCTATGTAAGATCCTGGGCTCAAGAGCATGGGTCTCCAGAGTGGAATACTCACAGAGAACTGGAACTACATCTATATGAAGTGGTTTTTCCACTTCCTAATGGGAATTACGTAACCGATGAAAATGTCTCGTTAGCCAGCGATCATTCTCTGCGTGCAAATGCTTGGTATTCTGTACATGTGCTTCAAATGTCACCATTTAGATAACAGGAAGTAGTCAGAAATCATGAGATGAGGATTGAGTTTCTATGCAGAATAATTAGATGCTCTGCTAGCCTGCAAACCCAGAAATACACTTGTTTTTAGCTCCCTTAGGTTTATTAATTCACAATAGTAATCAGTTATGCAAATATAAAAAGCACACAGATTTCTAGCAGTTAGAGCTTACAGGAAATGTGACACTTGATGATTAACTTCACCCATTTTATTTCAGAGGGAGATACAGTGTTCCAGGAGACCCGAAGATGGTTAACCCTCAAAAAGAATCAATTAAAAAGACCGTAGAAATGAAGCAGCTTCCGAAACTAAAGCACTGATTTAATATTAATGCCGAGAACTTTCAATCACTTCTTAAAAAATTACTGGAAGTGTCTAAACAGAAAATGACTGTATTTGTGCCTTATTATAATACTAAACCCAGATCGGAGGGTCTTCTTGGCAGCCATATGTAGGTGTTCCTCTGTAGTTGCCGTCTTTGTTCTGGTGAGCTGTGACCCTGTCCATTCTGGTTCTCATCAGTGATTCTGAGTGGCGGGGAGTTGGAAGCCTTGGAGAACATTTCACGTCTTTGTACACTAGTAGATCCTTGAATTCTTTGACTTCACAGGAACCATTGAAAACAAACACCATTCTTACATGTTTGAGCACTCAACCAGGAAGAAGAAAAAGGCAGACTGGCGTACTGAAGTGCTATCTCACCACCTCCGAACCTAACTTTTTTAAATGCTGATGTGCCACAGGTCCTGTGTCGACCACTGCTTTCTGTCTGTGTGGTTTAGAAGCACAACACCATTACCAGCTACTTTAGGCACTAGTAATGGGTAGAAACGAAAATAAAAACGAGCACTTTTTAATAAGGATTCTTCAGAACCTATCTTGTGGAGGTGTGGTTTCTTTTAAACAGCGTATACACATTATGTTTCCTGATGTTGGTATGTTGCTATTTGAAATTTCAACTCTCAAGTGAACCTTTGTACACACAATCTGGGTTCCATAAAATTCTCTATGTATTCTTTGCTGGCATTGATCCATGTATTTGTAGGGTCCAAAACAGTGCCAGTCTTTGAAGTCATTCTTTTCAGTAATAGTAGAACTACTTTGTGATTTCATTTTTAGGCGTGCAATTATTGTTGCAGTTTCATTGCCTACATTTTAGTCATTAAACTTCAGCAGAATTTTTTTAAGTGTCAACAGGAAAAATGTTCTGGTAATGAGGCTTTAAGCCTCTGGATTACATCTTAAAAGCTCTTGGCAGAGCAAATGTGATTGATTGACTGCCCTTTATTATTTTTAAGAGCATCCCTAGCTCTTTGCAGTGTCTAATAAAGCTTTTTGCCCCTTTAAGAGCAGTACTAACAACTCCCTTATTACTGGCAGCATTAAAGTGAGGCTGTAATTAAACTCATACAAGATCAATGATGTCATTCAAAAATGCAGAGAAAGAAGACCTGCAGCATTGTACAGCATATTCAATACGGAAATGCCATTTATTTTTTTCTCTCACATAGTATGAGATTTATTACAGATATTTCTTATGTTGCCATGATGCACCTGGTATCATTCTTCCATAAGCAGGGTGGTCTGCCTGCCCAGTTTTTTCCTCACAATTGAAAGCATAGTACAGCTGATGAGGCTAGCACTCCTCTGCTCCCGTTTTTCACATGGAAAATTTCCAAATTTTGATTGTGCTGGCATTTGTCAGTGTGGAAAAGGAGAGGAGGGAAAAAAAATCACCATAATGGTCCTTTTGGCATAAAAGAGAAGGGACATCTGCAGTAGTGAGGAATATCCAGTTCTTAGATTCATGCAGCAGACATTTACTGCTGCTGTCTCTGAATCACGTGTTTGTCAACGCACTCAAATCCAGTCCCGGCAGCACTTCAAAATAACTGGAAACATCACACAAATGTGGCAGAACAGCATTTATTCCTAACAGGAGACTTGGACTCTTTCCTCATGGGTAGTCATTGCTGATGGATTAAAAAGAGACTTCTTTTTTTTTTCTTGAAGCCTAAGAAGATACAGTTATTGATACGGTTTGGTACAGTAATGCCCTGAGGAGAGGAGCAGACTCTCTCCTTAGTCCCTGTGTCAGCTTGCCAGGAATGAGCTCAGGATGTGAAACTCTAAAACATGTGTTTGTCCATTCTATTTGTCTCTGGCTATAATGTTTTCTGTGCAAAATGGTCGCAGTTCTGTACTCTTGCTCTTGAAATTGCTTGGCATTTCATTCTCTTCCTGCCTTTCTGAAAAGAAGGTCACCCTGATGATTAAGTTTGAAGACTCAAGTTTTTTTGCAACAGCAAAAAGATTGCTTTTGATCTCAAAATCACTGTGTTATTTCTTTGGAAGCGAATACAAGTTTTACCCTGCTAGCTTTCCCAAACCATGCTGAAATATTTTCTTTGGTGTCATTTGGTGGTTTTGGATGGAAGAGTGTTTTGAAATTCCTGGATTTATCTTGCATGAACTTTTCTCACTACTGTTATGCTGGGCTGTGAAATAGGGTTTGTTTCCATTTGCAGCAATGAACAATTACATGTCTTTACACAATCTCTTCTATATGAATATTTCCGTGTATTTAGGAGTAATTAATCCTTCAAAGTACAGTCTGTACTATTATTCTCATTTTAGGTACAGAAGACTGAATCACAGAGCCACCTTTTTTATGTTAGAGATGGGAGTGTGGCAAGGTTTGTTTTTTCTCTAATTTCATATGAGTGATCTTTTAATAGAATCATAGAATCGTTAAGGTTAGAAAAAACCTCCAAGTTCATCAAGTCCAACCATCAACCCAACGCCACCATGATCACTAAACTATATCCTGAAGTGCCACATCTACATCTTCTGAGCATCTTCAGGGATGGTGACCCCACCATTAGAAGGTCAATTCTATCTCCTCTAAAGTCTCTGAGCATCATATTCTAAACAGTGGACAAGTCTGAAGACAAAAATGGGAAAGTGAATCGCTGACAGCTGTCAGTGAGTGAATGGAACTAAATGTCAGCGGAAGGTAGGATGAGAGCTGAAGGCTTGAATCTGGCCAAACTTCTTCCTGCAGCACAGAACTGGGATTCCAGATGTGCTGGTTGTAGTGTAAGTGCCTTTAATTGATGGACCGAGAAATGTGATATCCTAACTCTTGGGACATGAGAGTATGCTTCCCTTCCTTACATGGTTACTCGTGTAACTCCACTGATTTCAGAGGAGTCATGATTTTGAGGTAACTATGGCATTTTAAGTATTTAACTCTATTGTTGCTGGAAAATATGCATTAAAAACCCCAAATGCTGATAAGCAAACATGTGGCATTTCCCCCAGTTAAGTCTCATGGTTTAAGAGGGTATTGAGTAATGATTTTTCTTTTGAATAAATCAGTATAGCACCACTTTATTCCTCTATGCTATGACAAGATAAAATTAAAATGTTTACTGGATAGACATTGTCTGTGTCATTGATTATTGTGTAATAATGCACCTTAACCACAGACTCGGAGAACTTGGGTGATGAGTTTCCTCATATGCAGGATATTATTAACAATAAGCAAGATATTTCATTTTTTAAATACTTTGTTTAATGGGTTCTCCAAATAAATAACAGAGTAGGTGGTACAGTTCACAGCTTCCCTAATTTCTATGATATTGCATCTCTACTGGTAAAGATGAGGTGCATCATTTACCCTTAACACATTTCCAGTTGTGGAAGATGCCGCACGGGCATTTTTAAAACTGTGATACAGACACAGTAGCAAGCAATTTAAATAAAGCAATGAAATAAACCTCTATGTTAAGCTTCTGCAGTTGCTGCCAGACTAGTGTGATCCGTAAATAATAATTCAGATTAACTCTGGTTGAAATCAGAAGTAAAATGCGCCTATGAAAATCACAGCTATTGGCAGCGTTTTTGTCTCTTTACCTACAGGTTTCACAGTAATGGTAGACAGCTCTGGACCAGATAATTAGGCTTTTCAGAAGTGGTGGTGTGACATTTAACTTGGCAAATCAGTTTAACCCTCTCCTCCAAAGATAGAAACATTGGATATAGCCCCTTGTAGGTTATAGCTTGGAATCCAGTTCTCCTGCACATCACTCATCTGTGCCATAAGCTACTGAATAAGGAACCACCTAGATCCCAAGTGAGTATCTCATGTGTACAGGAGCACCAGGCAGATGGGTAAAGGCTTTCCCCTTGGTTCTGTGTGCAAACCTATGGACCACTTGCTCCCAGGAAGGGGCTCGCCCAGGCTGTGCCATCCCTTCAGCAAGAACCACCAACAGCTGAGCTACCGGAATGGGTTTAACCTCTGAATCCATTCTGGGCACTGCCTGTCACACAGGTGGCTTCTACCACAGTCTTGTTCTCCATGTGGCTCGCTCTGTGTAGCTGATGACATCCTCTTAAAAAGACTCCCATGACTCCATAAGTTTTCTCCTGGAGGAGAATCAAAGTGTGTTCTGTGTCCTCTGGCTGGCAGAAGAGGTGACAGCGAGCTGACTTAGCTGTGCCTTGGCCGTTATTTTACAGAAACTTCCTGTGGTTCTCCTGACTCTCTTTACCAAGCTCTCAGACATCCTCTCCATGACCAGAGATGCTGGCACATTGCCTGGCAGCGATGGGGAGAGGGGTGTACACCCGGTGGTACTGACACAGTGACAGGAATCACAGAATCACAGAATGTTAGGGGTTGGAAGGGACCTCTGAAGATCATCTAGTCCAACCTTCATCCCAGCATACCTAACCACTACGCCATAGCCTCAAGTGCTAGATCTACTTTTATTTAAACACCTCCAGGGTTGGTGACTCCACCACCTCCCTGGGCAGCCTGTTCCAGTGCCTCACCACTCGTTCAGTAAAGAACTTCCTCCGAATATCCAATCTAAACTTACCCTGACGCAACTTGAGGCCATTTCCCCTTGTCCTGTCATTAGTAATTAGAGAGAAGAGACCAGCACCAGCCTCACTACAGCCTCCTTTTAGGTAGTTGTAGAGGGCAATAAGGTCTCCTCTCAGCCTCTTCTTCTCCAGACTAAACAAACCCAGTTCCCTCAGCCGCTCTTCATAGGGCATGTTTTCCAGACCTCTCACAAGCCTTGTGTTGAGTCACACCCCATCCAACCACAGTGTAGAGCTCAGGACTGAGGACAGTTGTCTTCTTCCCTTAGCACAGGACCACTTTCAGCATCTCCATTCTCCCTCTAGAAAGGCAGATTATTTGAAGGGAAGAACTAACCCCAGCTGAACATCCTCTGCTGATTATAACCAGGGTCAGAAGAGGTCTGAGAACACACTGTTGGCTTGTTGCAGATGTTTCAGACCA